TTCAGTTCTGGAGCTCCTAAGAGACAGCTGTCCAACTGAATGGCTGCCGTCTTGTCTGCCGCTACCTTGCTTCCACAGCTTTTGAGCTGCAGATGATGTATTATTTTTCACACTGATGCTCACAACTGAAGTCAGATTTCTCTACTCTTTCTCTTTTGGGACTGTATTTCTCAGAGGGATGTACAGTTGTTGACACTGGTACCTCAGAACAGATATAGAAAAACTTTCCCATGTAATATTCATGCAAATAGATGTTCAGGCTAGATGTTTACTGCCTTTAAATATTCAGTGTCTATTGCTCTTCTTGGAGAGTCATTACAAGTAAACTGGAAACAAGAAATCTAAAGGAAAACAAGTTAAAATCCTCTGCAGTCTATACCCCTAGTGTTGTAAGTATGGATGTGAGAAGTATCTTCTTTTGTCCTTTCAAATGTGTATGAAATTACCTGCTTTCCCAAGGTGATAACTGATGCAAAGTAGCAGTCACCAGAGTGAGATCCATGTTCATTCTGATTCCAATCTCAATGTCATGACTTTACCTAAACGTTTGATCAATTTAACAAAAGCAATACTGCCTTTTACCAACAGAATGATTACTGACCTTTTGCTGATAGCATCATGGGAGCTAATGCCCAAGTTACTTATAATCTGTGTGAGGACCCATGTAGTAACATTTATAACCCATGTAGGTCTTGGTAAGGTTAGACCAAAGTAAATCATCACCACTTTGATATTTGCTGTCCATTTTATAATTATTAGCTCGAGGTCTAGCATATAGAAATATTTGTGTAAATGAGAACCAAGATTGGCTAGGTACAGTGGTTCACACCTGTAATTCCAGCATTTTGGTAGGCCAAGGCAGGCAGATTGCTTGAGCTCAAGAGTTTGAGACCAGCCTGGGCAACATGGTGAAACCTCATCTCTACAAAAAATACAAAAGTTAGTTGAGCATGGTGACGCATGCTTATAGTCCCATCTGCTTGAGAAACTGAGGTGAGAGGATCACTTGGGCCCTGGAGGTCAAGGCTGCAGTGAGCTGTGATTGCACCACTGCAGTCTAGCCTAGGCCACAGAGTGAGACCCTATCTCAGAGAAAGAAAAAATAAAAAGAACCAAGATGAGGGGTTTTATTGTTTTGATACTATCACTTGTTGAACATCTTAACTCTTTCAATCAATATTTTGTCTGGAATCAGAATCTTTAAAAGCTACCTAAAAAATTGCCAGACATAACTAATGGTACCTAGAAAGAAGCTTATTTGTTAAATTCCGTATAGCTGCTGCAAAGATGATTACTCTATTTCTAAATTATAAAATGTTTCACTAGACAGTAACCTCTTTCAGGAAAGGCATTGTGTTTTGCCTAGTACTGTGGCTGACACATAATAAGTTCAAAATACATTTACTAACTGAACTAACTCCATCTATACTCTCATCCATCTTTCCTGACCTCAGTGAGCAAAGTGTGCTTATTAACTGGTTTTGGTAGACAAATCTGCAGTTTTTCAGCACTTAATAGAGCTGCTAGCTTGATTGTATTCATTTAAATTCACATCACAGTCAATCAGATAACATCCTTATGCCACCACTATTAATACTAATTTACTGAGCATGAAATATGCTGATTTTTCCATAATAGATATTATAGAGCATCTGTGTTGTCATTTAATGCACTATTTCTTTTGTGTTTGTGCAAGTCTATAGCTGAAGGCCTGAGTGTGTGTTGGCCATCCTATTTGTGGATGTTTGTGTGTGTATATGTGTACATATATGTCTGTCATCACCACATGCCTCACCAGGACTATCCACTGGATGGTTAATGTGGAACAAAATCCTTGAGATTGTAATGTTGGTCCCTTAAATTCTAAGTTGGTTTTGCAATGTGGGTTTTTAGGGAAAGTAGAGAAACTCATATTGATAAATTAACATCAATTGTTCCCTAATTGTTGACTTTTTATTGTCATCCTTAGGGAGCTGTGCTTCACTACCTATATGATAGGAAGGTCAATCTTTGCTGAGCCTTCTCGACCTGCCAATATTTGGCTAATGTAGAGCTGATTGTGGTTTGGTTGCCTATTCATTCCACCAATGATCCTTCATTTTAAGACATTTGGCTTGAGAAGCTTGCTTAGTTTCTCACATGCCAATTTCTTGTCATTTAGCAATTTATTTGCTCACTTGGGCCAAGTGTCTGCTGTAAAAATCACTTAGAATTGTGTACTTCTGTGCCTCTTTGTTTCTTTACTTTTACTACTTCCTCTCTCTTCACATTGCCATTGCAATCCACAACCCTTTCTACTGAAGTGATGTTTGGCACATTTTGTCGAAGTTTAGGTCATAAAGTGTGAGTTTCCCAAGGTTCAGCTTTTTCAGCTGATGTGTCTGGTGATGCGGTGTTGCTGAAGCAGTGGATAATGTGCTTTTCATGTGTCTTGTCACTCATATTAACAAAGCTTCCTAGGCCCTATGCTATAGCTAGATGATGCCGGTTTTTTAGTTATAAATACCATAATGCAACTTGATGCTTCTCAGCCTGATAAGAGTGCTGTTGATGCTAAGCTTCTGATGCATGCACAGTGAAAGAAACTGTATGCCTTTGGACTTCATGTTACTGATAACATTATAACTAGGAAATGCATACTACACCACGCAGTTCTGGACAACACAAGCATTGTAATAGTCAAGAACCATATGCCTCTTTGTCTCTATAGCAGTACGTCAGTAGTAGCTGACATAACATCAGTGACTTTTGTTTTTAAGTTATCCAACATACTAAACTTAGGAAAAGACACCACTAGTCAGTGACTCCTAAAAGCCCAGCACTGTAATAAATACTCTGAAATATGCAAAGGAAGTAGCATTTCTGCTATTATAGTTATTTGGGTAACTATAAATATTTAGTGAATGAATGCAGTCTAACAGAAAAAAAAAAATAAGGATTCCTTCAACTCCTCTCTTCATTAAAAAAAAGGAGCAGCACTTTAAAAGACCATTCTCCCTCCCAGACTATATTTAACTCTCTTTGTCCCTTGAGAAGATATAGCTATGCCAAAATTTTGGTCAGGTTTTAAAAATAGAAGCTCCTAGGTATTAAGTCTACCTACTTTTACTACTAGAGAATATTCTAATTTATTTTGTTATCCCAGATAATATTAAGAATTACTCTAATAACTTTTTTTAGGTTTAGTTATGAAAGTAGGAATTGGGATATTTAAGGTGAACTAGGATCTACATTCATCTAAATGGATTGAAAACCACAGTGTCCGGTTGGCTGTCCTGCCTACTGTAAGAGGATTAGTGTTAGGTCCAGAGGAATCCTGGCTGCCTCTGTTACTGATTGCCATGTAACACTGTGCCTGCCATTTTACCTGTCATGACTCTTAGTTGTTAACTGAGGAAGTTCAATAACTGGCTCCTTTTCCATTTCTATAGTTTATGAATATACTGCTGAAGTATAAAATAACAGTCTGTACTGGATTAAAGTGGACAATATATAGTCTGAATCTCTACTGCAAAACTAATGCTGAGAGAGACCAAGCCATCTTTGAATTACAAGCCTGTGACGTGGTTTGGCTGTGTCCCCACCCAAATCTGAACTTGAGTTATATCTCCCAGAATTCATGGGGGCTGGTCTTTCCCATGCTATTCTCCTGATAGTGAATAAGTCTTAAAAGATCTGATGGGTTTATCAGGGGTTTCTGCTTTTGCTTCTTCCTCATTTTTCTCCTGCCGCCACCATGTAAGAAATGATGCTTTTCGCCTCTCGCCATGATTCTGAGGCCTCCCCAGCCTTGTGGAGCTGTAAGTCCAATTAAACTTCTTTTTCTTATCAGTCTCAGGTATGTCTTTATCAGCAGCCTGAAAATGGATTAATATAGTAAATTGTTACCAGTAGAGTGGGCCATTGCTGAAAAGATACTTGAAAACATGGAAGCGACTTTGGAACTGGGTAACAGGCAAAGGTTGGAACAGTTTGGAGATCTCAGAAGGAGACAGGAAAATGTGCGAAAGTTTGGAACTTCCTAGAGACTTGTTGAATGGCTTTGCCCAAAGTGACGATAGCGATATGAACAATAAGGTCCAGGCTGAGGTGGTCTCAGATGGATATAAGGAACTTGTTGGGAACTGGAACAAAGGTGATACTTGTTACGTTTTAGCAAAGATCTGATGGCATTTTGCCCCTGCCCTAGAGATGTGCGGAACTTTAAACGTGAGAAAGATGATTTAGTGTATTTGGCAGAAGAAGTTTCTAAGCAGCAGAGCATTCAAGAAGTGACTTGGGTACTGTTAAAGGCATGAAGTTTTATCAGGGAAGCAGAGCATAACAGTTTGGAAAATGTGCAGCCTGACTATGCAATAGAAAAGAAAAACCTATTTTCTGGGAAAAATGTCTCCAGATCACGTCAGAGACCTTCAGAGCAGCCCCTCCCATTATGGGCCTGGAGGCCCAGGAGGAAAATATGGTTTCCTGGGCCAGGCCCAGGGTCTTCTTGCTGTATGTAGCCTAGGGTCTTGGTGCCCTGTGTCCCAGCCATTCCAGCCATGGCTGAAAGGGGCCAACATACAACTCAGGCTATGGCTTCAGAGGATGGAAGCCCCAAGCCTTGGCAGCTTCCACTTGGTATTGAGCCTGTGGGTGCACAGAAGTTAGGAACTGAGGTTTGGGAACCTCTGCCTAGATTTCAGAAGATATATGGAAACACCTAGATGTGCAGGTAAAAGTTTGCTGCAGAGGCAAGGTCCTCATGGAGAACCTCTGCTAGGACAGTGCAGAGGGGAAATGTGGGGTAGGAGCCCCCACCCAGAGTCCTTACTGGGGCACTGTCTAGCGGAGCTATGAGAAGAGGGCCACCATCCTCCAAAACGCAGAATAGTAGATCTATCAACAGCTTGCACCATGTGCCTGAAAAATCCACAGACACTCAACACCAGCCCATGAAAGCAGACAAGGAGGAGGCTGTACCCTGCAAAGCCACAGGAGTGGAGCTGCCCAAGACCATGGGAACCCACCTCTTGCATCAGCATGACCTGGATGTGAGATCTGGAGTCAAAGGAGATCATTTTGGAGCTTGAACCTTTGCCTGCCCCGCTGGATTTAAGATTTGCATGGGCCCTGTAACTCCTTTGTTTTGGCCATTTTCTCCCATTTGGAATGGCTGTATTTATGCAATACCTGAACTCCCATTGTATCTATGAAGCAACTAGCTTGGTTCTAATTTTACAGGCTCATAGATGTAAGGGACTTGCCTTGTCTCAGATGAGACTTTGGACTGTGGACCCTTGGGTTAATGCTGAAATGAGTTCAGACTTTTGGGGACTGTTGGGAAGGCATGATTGGTTTTGAAATGTGAGGTCATGAGATTTGGAGGGGCCAGGGGCAAAATGATATGTCCTCACCAAAATCTCAACTTGTATCTCCCAGAATTCCCACATGTTGTGGGAGGGACCCTAGGGGGAGGTAATTCAATCACGGGGTCTGTCTTTGCCATGATATTATCATGATAGTGAGTAAATCTAACGAGATCTGAATGGGTTTATCAGGGGTTTCTGCTTTTTCTGCTTCCTCATTTTTCTCTTGCCACCTCCATGTACGAAGTGCCTTTCACCTCCCACCATGATTCTGAGGCCTCCCCGGCCATGTGGAACTGTGAGTCCAATTAAACACCTTTTTGTTCGCAGTTTCAGGTGTGTCCTTATCAGTAGTGTTAAAATACACTTTGTTTTTCAGTGTTTTATTCAAAATGACCTTTCTGTAAAATCATTTTACTTGCATAATCCACCCTCACCACGTTTTTACATGTTATATTTTGCTTAAAAATAGTTAGGATTAGAATCCTACCTCTTGCACAACTTACTCTGCAATTTGGGGTAATTTACTTAACACTTTTGAGCTTCATTTTTCTTATTTATATAAAGGAACTAATTGTATCTGCCCTAAAAGAGCTATTAGGAGACTTACATGTAATGGTTCTGAAAAGTGTCAGCCTCAGAACCTGGCACACAGAGGCTCATCATAAATGTTTCTTACTATCTAGGCCTGATCCACTTCATCCATAAACCATGAGGTTCTGTTTCTATTTATTAATCAGCAACAAATCACAGAAGCTATAGAACAATGAGTAGACAAAGCTAATCTGTCTCTAAAATTAGCATATTTATTCTGTTAGATTGTATTAATTCATCAAATATTTACTGAATGTCAATTCAGATACCAGGAAGAGATATATTGTTATAAGCATGTCTTTAAATCTACCTATGTTATCAGGGAATGATATGTTAATATTCTGTACCTAACATATGTCATGTGCTATATGCAAACAGTATTCAAAAGAGCTTTCACTATATTTTAACTCAATCCTTACAATAACCCTATGAGGTTAGTATTATTATCATTTTCATTCAAGAATGTATCTTATATGAGGAAACTGAGGGACAGCGAAATTGAGTAACTTACCCGAGATCACATACTGGTAAGTATGGAGCCCAAATGTGAATGCAGTCAGTATGTGTTGCTTCAAAATCCATGTGTTTTGTCAACCAGCTACATACGCAAAGTGTCATTTAAAAATTATTTGAAGGAATCAGTGACACCAATGAGTTTTTTTCTCTCACTCATAGAGGGTGTTTTAAATAGCATTTCTAGGAAAAGAAGGCTGGAAGGCTGCTGCCAACCACAGTACGCTGCTTCAATCTCATGGAGCTTTGATGATGCATCAGGCTTTTCTATGCCTACCTTCTCTGTAACCGAAGAGAGGGAACAAAGAGCAGCCTGGTGGGGTTAGATGCTGGGGGATTAAGCAATAACTCACTCCATTTTCTGTTTCTACACTCCAGCCACTGCCAAGTGATTTTTTAAAAATTTAAATACTTTTCTGCCCTAACAAATACAGGGTATACTCTACCAAAAGAGTGCTCTGCTAGTAAAAAGTGGTTTTTGATTCAAGCAGAAAAAAGAGGGGGAAAAAACATGGGTGTCAGATAAAGCCGAAGTGTCCAGGAAGAGAGGGAGGAATGGGAGCTTTTCTTTTAAGTGTCTTATTAAAATGTGTGAGTGGAAGTGAGGGTGGATTTCATGAGTAAATATGGAATTATGCCACCAAATTCTTTCCTCCAGAGCTAATATTCTCATGGGATATTAATATTAATACAAGGAAAAAGGCCCTGGGTGAAGAAAAATTCTTTTCCCCTTCAGGGGCAGAGTTCTCTCAGGATGACAGTGAAGTTAAAGAGTTCCAGAAAGTGCTAGTAGAGCTTTGAGCATGCTATCGTTAGCAGAGAGAAAAACAGACTACAACCTACAGGATTCATTTTGGAAAGTAAAGGAAAAGGAACCCCGGTAAAACCAGCCTAGGCAAGGACCTTTTCCCTGCCTTACAACTTGCTAAGCTTTCCATGGTGTGTGGGCCTTTTAGTTATACTCATTATTCTGGCCTAATTCGGGTCACCAAAATAGAAATGCATGGGACAGGTGACTGACATGACCACATTGTGATTTAGATATATTGATAACACAGGAAGGTGCTTTACATTTTATAAATGTGATCATAATTCTTTTATTTATGGTTTATCTGAATCATTATTTTGGAACATTTTAAAAGACCCAGATAAAAAAAATGGAAGTTTTTCATCAAGCGACTTGACTCAGTGGATAGCTAAATGTCCAGTTTCAAAAACTTATACTTTTGAAATACTTTTATACTTATAAAAGCCCAAAGAACCCTTAATATGGGCCACATAACTATAACATAATTTTTCCAAGGTGGGAAAGGCAATTAATTACAAAATACTGTACTATTAGAATATATGGATTTTCACAAGAGCAGCTGTTATTTTACTGTTTACATTATTTTAGTTCCCAGTTTTCTGTTTTGGGGGTGTGTTAATAAGTTCCTTGTTTAATTTATTCCCATTCTCTATATTTCTGATTCTTAATTGTATAATATGGCTTATATCATTATTTTGACATGACAGGAATGCCAACAATGTGCCTTTCATTTTCTTATGCTTAAAAAATAAAAAATAATAATAATAAACATTAAGATGTAAAATCATGAAGGATTCTTACCAACAGTTGTATGTCCTTGACTAAATTTATTTATTTACTTATTTATTTATTTAGAGACGGAGAGTCACTCTGTCGCCCAGGCTGGAGTGCAGTGGTATTTTCTGGGCTCATCACAACCTCCACCTCCCCAGTTCAAGTGATTCTCCCACCTCAGCCTCCCAAGTAGCTGGCATTACAGGCGAGTGCCACCATGCCTGGCCAACCTGGCTAACTTTTGTATATTTAGTAGAGATGGAGTTTCACCATGTTCACCAGGCCGGTCTTGAACTCCTGATCTCAAGTGATTCACCCGCCTTGACCTCCCAAAGTGCTGGGATTACAGACATGAGCCACCGCACCCAGCCTCTTGAGTAAATTCTTTAGCCAAGCGTGTACAGAATGGTTTGCATGTGGGCAGTTCTCTGAGCACTTACTGTGGGAGAGTTTACAGAACTGAACTTCAATTTCAGTTACACTTGATGTAAATGAGCAATATAAAAAATATAAACAAGCCCACAAATGCAGACCTTCCGCCGAGCAATTTTAAGCCAGTAACATATAATCAACTAAAAAAGAAGCTTGTTTTATACCACCCTTGTGCTAAGAGTTGCCACACAGTGGGTAATAAATATCAGAAAGTACCTTCAGGTATAGTCATAGGCTAAACCTATGAATCTTTGGTTAATAAAGCAATTCTTCTGATGCTTTGAATATTTGGGACTTGAGGGTTGCAGTTAATTGCATTAAATTAGGATGATGACAAATGCATCCTGGCCTCAATTCTTCCAGTTGGAAATCTTCCTAAAATGTATGAGTAGATTTTCTCAACTGGCAAGACAATGAATTTTATCAATCTATTTTTTATGATTTAGATCTGGCATGCCTCAGGGATATAATTCTCAATATCAGTCATCATTGTATAATATGATACATAGATTGAAGATAGATAGAAGATGAAACAGATGAGACCATCTGTGTTATTGGTCTCAGAATAGTGGTAAGTCCGTCAGTCACCACAGGGACTCTATTATAGTCGTGTCCTGTGCCGACTGCTGGAGGAGATATCAAGCTATCATAACTATTTCTTGTACATTTTAAGGTATTTAGCAGCATCTTTGGACTTTTTATTGCTGCTGTTGTTGTTGTTGGAAGAGCAGAAATAAGAGACATACTTCCTACACATGGAATATAAATTCAGAAAATGGGAAGAGCAGAGGTCAAAGGAGATTTTTATAGAGGAAGCAAGTTACGAGCAGAACCTTGAAGGATGTGTAGGGTTGGCAAATCAACCCTAAGTGCTTGATGACTAAGGGGTCACTGTTTTGGCCAAAACTGTTAATTAATTTTTAACAGTTTTAATGTAGCTTACTGAAGTTTTTCTCATCACTGTTACCATTAAAACTATTAAGTGATTCATGATGATTTTTTAAGACAAATTTCTCTAGGTTTTACGCATAGCCTCAATGTTGACCATATAGGTAGATGTGGAATTTAGGGACCAAATTTCACTTTTCCCCAGTATAATTTATATACAACTTACCATTCGGTAAAGATATTTCTCCTGTATTTTATCCAGTTTTATCTTCTCTTCCTATTCTTCTTTTTCTTGCCTTCTGTGTCTTCATTCTTCCTACTCCTCTACAATTTTCTTCACATTTCTCTTCCCTTTTCAGGTTAGGGTGATGGAGGCCTGTGAGAAGCGAATCCAAAGTCATAAACGGTGTACCATATCAGTCTCCCTGTGGCCTCTGAAACAAATTACGAACTAGAAGGGTTAAAACAACTAAAATGTGTGCTGTCACAGTTCTGGAGGCCAGAAGTCCGAAATCAGTTTCACCAAACAGAAGAATCCATTTCTTGCCTCTTTCAAGTTCTGGTGGCTGCCAGCTTCCTTGGTTTGTGGCTGCGTTACTCCAGTCCCTGCCTCTGTGGTCACGTGGCCTTCTACTCTTCTCTGTGTGTCAGATCCCCCCTCTTACAGGGACATTTATGATGCTACCTAGGGTCTAGACAGATAATCCAAGATAATACCCTAAATTTCAAGATCCTTAACTTAATCATATCTACAAAGATCCTTTTTTCGAATAAGATAACATTGACAGGTTCCAGGGATTAGAGAATTATATGATATGGCTCTGTGTCCCCACCCAAATTTCTTCTCAAATTATAATCCACACACCTCAAAGGACTTGTAATCCCCATGTGTCAAGGAAGGGAAAGGGAAGTGATTGGATTATGGGGATAATTTCCTCCATGCTGTTCTCCTGATAGTGAGTGAATTCTCAGGAGATCTGATGGTTTTATAAATGGCACGGTTTTTGTGCTCACACAGGCACACTCTCTCCTGCTGCCTTGTGAAGAAGGTGTTTGCTTCTCCGTCCACCGTGATTTTAAGTTTCCTGAGGTCACCTCAGCCATGCAGAACTGCAAGTCAATTAAACCTCTTTTCTTTATAAATTACCCAGTCTTGGGGAGTGTCTTTATAGAAGTGTAAGAACGGACTAATACAGTAAGTTGGTACTGGGAATGGGGCACTGCAGTAAAGATACTTGAAAACGTAGAAGCGACTTTGGAATTGGGTAGCAGGTAGAGGTGGGAACAGTTTGGAGGGCTCAGAAGAAGACAGGAAGATGTGGAAAAATTTGGAACTTCCTAGAGACTTGTTGAGAGGTTTTGACCAAAATGCTGATAGTAATATGGACAATGAAGTCCAGGCTGAGGTGGTCTCAGATGGAGATTAGGAACTTATTGGGAACTGGATCAAAGGTCACTCTTGATATGCTTTAGCAAAGAGATTGGCAGCATTTCACCCCTGCCCTAGAGATCTATGGAACTTTGAACTTGAGAGAGATTATCTGAAATTGGAACTTATGTTTAAAAGGGAAGCAGAGCATAACAGTTTGGAAAATTTGTAGCCTGATGATGAGATAGAAAAGAAAAATCCATTTTCTGGGGAGAATTTAAGCCTGCTGTATTAATTTGCATGAAAACTAGGAGCCAAACGTTAATTGCCAAGACAATGGGGAAAATGTCTCCAGGGCTTGTCAGAGACCTTCGGGGCAGCCCCTCCCATCACAGGCCTGGAGTCCTAGTGGGAAAAATGGTTTCATTGGCTGGGCCCATGACCTTGCTGCTTTGTACAGTCTTGGGACTTGGCACTTACTGGAGCATAGAAACAGAAAATGCAGTGTTATTGCTTAATCCCCCAGCATCTGAGCCCACCTGGCTGCTCTTTGTTCCCTCTCTTGGGTTTCAGAGCAGATAGGCATAGCAAAACCTGACACTAAAAAGGGACAATGTACAGCTCAGGCTGTTGCTTCGGAGGGTGCAAGCCCAAAGCCTTGGCAGCTTCCATGTGGTGTTGGGCCTGCTGCTGCATAGAAGTCAAGAATTGAGGTTTTAGAAATTCTGCCTAGATTTCAGAGGATGTATGGAAACACCTGCTGCAGAAATTCCAGCAGAACTTTGCTGCAGGGGTTGAGTCGTCTTGGAGAGCCTCTACTTGGGCAATGCAGAAAGGGAAATGTGGGGTTGGAGCTCCCACACAGAGTACTCACTGGGGCACTGTTAGTGGAGCTGTGAGAAGAGAGCCACAGTCCTTCAGGCCCCAGAATGGTAGATCCACCGACAGCTTGCACTGTGCACCTGGGTAAGCCACAGACACTCAACACCAGCCCATCAAAGCAGCTGGGAGAGGGGCTGTATCTTCTACAGGGACAGAGCCGCCAAAGACTGTGGGATCCTACTACTTGCATCAGTGTCCCGTGGATGTGAGACATGGAGTCAAAAGGTATCATTTAGAAGCTTTAAGATGTAATGACTGCCTCCACTCCTGGATTTCAGATTTGTGTGGGGCCTGTAGCTCCTTTGTTTTGGTTAATTTCTCCTATTTGGAAGGTAGCATCCAATGCCTGTACCTCCACTGTATCTTGGAAGGAACTAACTTGCATTTGATTTTACAGACTCATAGGTGAAAGGGACTTGTCTTGTCTCAGATGAGACTTCGGACTTGGACTTTCAACGCTGAGTAAGTTAAGACTTTGGGGGACTGTTGGGAAGGCATGATTGGTTTTGAAATGTATAAGGGACATGAGATTTGGAGGGACCAGGGACAGGATGATATGGTTTGGCAGTGTCTACATCCAAATCTCAACTCAAATTGCAATCCCCACATGTAGAGGGAGGGACCTATAATCCCCAAGTGTCAAGGAAGGGAAGCAAATGAATTATGGGGGTGGTTTCCCCATGCTGTTCTCGTAATAGAGAGTGAATTCTCACAAGATCTGATGTTTTTATAAATGGTCGTTTTACTTGTGCTCACACACACACACTCTTTCCTGCTGCCTTGTGAAGAAAGTGCTTGCTTCTCCTTCCACCATGATTGTAAGTTTCCTGAGGCCTCCCCAGCCATGTGAAATGGTGAGTCGATTAAACCTCTTTTCTTTATAAATTATCCTGTCTTGGGTAGTATCTTTATAGAAGTGTGAGAATGGATTAATACAGGAATGATATCTTTAGGCACCATTATTAAGTCCACTAAAATTAGAATATTATAGAATCCTCCCTTGACATTATGGCAGACAACAGTGAGCGTATTTTGTGTATATATATGAACCTCTATTGTGAATCTCACCTGCAAGCATAAGAAAGGAGTCATATGTTGTCATGTATCATCATTGGAACCCTGTTCAGTGTTTGAGCAGTACCTGCATACCAAGGAGTGAAGAAGGAAAGGGATCTCACTGTTACTTAGCAGTTCTCTGAGCACCAGCCATCAATTCCCAAGTAATGAAGGTCAGGGCCAATGATGGGTTCCTTATGGGAAGTTTCCTATTTTACTCTTCAGACTTTAGAGGCTTTTTTTTTTTTCAGGAAGAAAGTGTTTCTGTTGGGCTTTGTAGGTTTTGCTTCAAGTGGCCAACATACTCTCTTCAACATAAGAGGAGGAGATACAGAGAAGCTTATAGAAAGGATGGATAAAGAATCCTCTCAGCTAGAGCGCTTGCTACATTTAAGAGATCAGGACTGGAAGGAAAAGGATACTTTGAGCCCTTCTCATTTAACTTTCTTTAAATAATCCCACCATCCAAAAATTATCTAGGCTAGGTTAAGGAGGATGAAAATATAAAGAAACATGGAGATTCATGGCCACTTCCTCTCCTACCCAGTATCCATTATAAGCATACCATTTTTTTTTTGGCTGGGTCCTGTGGGAGAAGAAATCTAGATGAATTTTCAGCCATTAATTTTGATTGGACCTGTGGTCCCTAAAGATTTTGTATATCCTAGCTCATCACTCTCAGAATCCTATTCAATACATTTTAGAAAAGTGATTCTAATTAAAAATAAAGATTACTCTTTCAAAGCAGTATTTTGAAATAACTCTAAGACATACTAGAGTGTTATGCTTCCATATACTCAATTATCATTTTGACTTTTTCCAGCATTAGCTTACTTGGTATTGGATGGGGTACAGTTTCAAAGGGTTATTTGGTTTGTCTGCAATCTCTGGTTAGTGTTATCTAATGCCCTATGGAGAAAACATCTCAGGGTCTTTGTTGACTAAGCGTGGTTTTTCTAGCTCCGTATTTCTCTGTCTTAGCTTTATTTACATTTTGGACTGAATAATTTCTTGTAGGGTGGGCTGTCTTGTATATTTTACAATGTTTAGCAGCTTCTCTGACCTCTATGATCTAGATGGCAGGAGCAGCTTCCTACCAAGTTGTAACAACCAAAACTGTCTCTAGATATTGCTTGATGTCCCCTGGGAGCAAAATCAACCCTGTTGAGAATGAGTCTTCTAAATCTATTATGTGCCTGGTTAGTAATAACAGCTAGCTAGCATTTATGGAGCACTTACTGAGTTCTGGCTATTATACTAAGCACTTTACTTTTATTAATAAATTACACTGAATTTCAGAAAACCTCACAAAGTAAGTGCCAGTATTTTCCCTGAGGATATTGACCTATAGTAGTGTTGAGCCAGTGGGTCAAGATTACAAAATTTGTAAAGAGAAGAGCCAGGATCTGAACCAGCAGTTATGATTTAGAATTAATGCTTTTAACCAACGTAGTACAGCTGTTGTCTAGAACTCATTTATGTATATGCAGTTATAGACCTGAAAAGACTCTTCCTTTGTAGCTATTTAAAGGTTGCAGGCTGAGAGCGGTGGCTAACACCTGAAATCCCAGTACTTTGGGAGGCCGAAATAGGAGTATCTCTTAAGGCCATGAGTGTGAGACCTGCCTGGGTGGCAAAGTGAGATAGCAGCTCTACAATTTTTTTTTTCATTAGCAGGGCATGGTGGTGCATGCCTGTAGTACCAGCTACTTGGGAGGCTAAGGCTAAGGCTTGAGCCCAGGAGTTTGAGGTTACAGCGCACCATGATTGTGCCACTGGACTCCAGCCTAAGTGATAGAATGAGACCCTGTCTCAATAAAATAAAGTCTTGTAAATCAATTATAACAATGGATAAAAGGAAAGGTAAAGAACATTTATGAGTTTATACTATAAACAGAACACTTATCTTGAGACTTTCATATAAATTATTTCATTTAATCCTCATAGTAGCCATGTGAAGTGAATATTATTATATTCTTTTATTTAATGGGAGAATGTGGATACAAAGCACTATGTAGTTTTACTCAAGGTAGAGCCAGTATAAGAGGCAGTAGCAGACTTTGACCCACTGCTTTCTGACTTTAAGCCCATCCTCTTTCTGTTTTACTATTCTACTTTTTCAGATTTTAGGAAAATGTTGAGAGGGGAGTTTTTAGGTTCTCCAGATATATTTTCCAGTCCAAACGTCTTTTCCTATAAAAATCCCACGTTACTTGTAGCTGATAACTTGGAAACTTTTAGCTCTCACTTATCCTTTCCTCAACACTTTCTGACAGGATCTTTGTACAGAGACAGGTGGGTAGATGTGGGCATTGACAGACCTGGCTCTGCCACTTCTCTGCCCTGTCACCCTGAGCAAGTCACATAACTGGGAGCTTCAACTTCCTTATTTGTGAACAATACTCACCTTGTAGGGTAAATATTAGAAAAAATAAACGAGAGTACTATTACTCATTGGAACAATTACAGTCATTAAAGTTGCAAGCTCTGTTGCCTCTTTGATTTTGTTCCCTTCAGAGCACTGGCAATATTTCCACCCCATTTTTCCCACCCCTATCAAGGGTATCCCTACCCAGATCAAGGGTATCCCTACCCCCATCAAGGGTATCCCTACCCCCATCAAGGGTATCCCCACCCCCATCAAGGGTATCCCTACCCCCATCAAGGGTATCCCTACCCACATCAAGGGTATCTGGAAATCTGCCATTTAGAAATGTACTAAGTTTTATTCTTGATTAAAATGAAGGTACCTTGGGGTAGACAAAACATTTGAAGTTTTTGTTAGCTAAGCCCATTTCTGAAGACTGGTTGTACATCTAGGGAGGATAGGACAAGACCATGAGACAGTGACTTCTTCAGATTTTTTTCAGACAGACCATGTGAAAAATATTATTATGAAAGATAGCACACCAAGATCTGTATCCACAGAGAGCTATAGTGAATATTAAGACCTTGTATTTAAGTGAAGTATTTCTTTCATCAAAGCCTGAATTGTGAGTTAGAGAGATAGATGGAAAATATGTTTTTAACTATAAATTTATAAACACATATATGTATGTATAACTGGGGTATGGAGTGAGAAGAAAAAAATACAAGAAATACAGATAAATGTAATTCTCTAGGACAATATTGTGAACTTTACAACTGAAATATTTGGGGATATATTAATAAAGTTCTTGGTACTTCTAAATTGACCAAATATCCATCCAATTTATAGACATGTATCCCATGTACCCAATTCAATGGATGGAGACCTTGCAAAGTGACCAGATACTCCCAGGAAGATATCATTTAAACATTTAAAAAAGTTGATGGAGAAGAAGGTGTCCATATATAGTTGCCTTGCTGAGAATGTGGGTCACAGTCTGAAGGGATTTCAAAGGTAATGTGATAATACTGCATTTCTACCCACGGGCAACCAGTGGAAATGTTCTGACTCAAAAATAACTCAATGTTTGAGAATTCTGAGAGGACATTCACTGTGCCTCCATCTAGAGAAATTGGGCAGGAGGGATGAGTTAGTCTGTTTTAAGATTTCAAGGGATTACACTTAGGATGTTATGAATTTATTGCTAAAAATGTTAAATCTCATCACTAATTGAATTTCACGTAAATGAAGAACTTCAGGGAAAGCTGATATTTATCTGTTAGGCAGAAATCAGTTAAGCTCAATTAAACATGATTTTAAAAAGATGTTCTTGCCATGTCTGTGTATAGACCAAGGCTATAAAACTCAATTACATGTTAAGTAATAATACTATCACATTCTGGTGATCAGAAATGGTCATGGTGACATTCGAAAATGGCATATTGGATATCTGCCTCTTCAATAATCCTGTAACAGCTAAGTCTATGCATAGCTGAAGAATTCCTAACCTCCTCTCTTGCTTTTACACAATAATAGATAAATAAAATTTCACACAAAGAAAGGAACTTGGAAACTCCCTTTGCCTTTTATGACAGAATCTAGCCTAAGCATTCATTTGTGAATTCAATAAGTGAAGATGAAATGACAAAATTATTCTAGTTATTACTCAGAAATCATACAAACTCATTCTGTAATATGAACCTATATGGTGTGGGAAAAGAAGAATAAAAGATTTTTTTTTTTTTTTTTTTTTTTTTTTTTTTCAGAAAAACAGCCCTTGGTGGGTGTTAAAGAAAACTATACAAGACACAAAAGAATAAAGGAAAAAAATCAGATTCAGAAAGGAAAACATTGCTAATCTAGGTAGGAAAGTGCCAAAGAGAAAAGGCAATAATAGAAATCATAATTTTTTCGTAGTACTTCACTTAGAAGATGAGATAGAGGTTCAAATGTGGAATCCGAGGTTTATTTCTGGCAGTTAGTATGCCAGTCATGCAGACCACCCCTCTAAAACAGAACCACATTATGATTTACAACTTGCAGGTAAAGAGAATAGATTACCTCCCTTAGCCTGCTA